TGACAGCTTCTGACAGACAACCACAAGCACACATAGAGCTGGAGTTTATAGAGCTGGAGTTTATACACTGTTTAATGAGGAAATGTGACAGAAATGTGACAGATTATAGGTTGAAAAGGCCACGACGGCGTCACAGAGCTGCACCTGCTGGGTTTATGTGTATGATCGACATTAACGGACACTGACCTGCGACTGTGTGAAACACGACTTAAGAAAATCTGCTGTTTTGAAGGTTTTACTGATTTAATTTTTGTCCTTCAGCTGCTCTGAAACAGGGTGTTAACATTATTCATCATTAAAAACAAGCAAAGCTGGACAGGATGCAGACATTCACACAGCGAGTGTGTGTAAGCGAGCTGGACGGACAGCTGGCTGAATGATTGATTGAATGGCCTAATTGACTGGCTGAGTGAAAGGACTGGATTACTGGCTGTTAGTGAGATTGTCTCTGAGCTGGAGGTTCTGGGTTTGATCCCTCGTGAAGCCAAACCTACTAATGCATCTTTTATCGTGCTACTCAACCCGTTTTATCTGTACAAACTGTCACCTGAAAGACCGCGTGGCTGCTCGTCTTCTCTCTCTGGTTGCTGGCTGTGTGGACAATGGGCGAGCTACAGTAATTATCTCTTTTTATAGTTGGAGGAAGGTTGTTGCAGGCCGTGTGGCTATCTAATGGGAGAGGATCACAAGTACACTTGACGCTGGAGTGTGGGACTTTTACATATAAATGAACATCCATTACATTCGAGCTGAGTGAATCCACACAAAGGTAATTAAGCCACCAGGTAACTCTGTCTGTGTTTCACAGTGTGCAGAGTTTTAAATCTGGAGTGTGTGGGGACGTTCCTGCGCTGGAGCACCAGGATCAACCAGCAATGCCGGCGTTTTAAACCAAAACAGGCGCATTTACTCACCAGTAAAGTGTAAATCCAGACTAGAAAAGAACCTGGAAAACGCCCTTAAACACAACACAGAAGGTGGGACTGTGCAGAGTTAGTACTTTTACAGCAGCGCCTCCTCTCTCTCTTCCAACGGGCCCATCTGTCTCGTTCGAGCCGATAATGAACCTGTGGAGTCGACTGCTGAGGTGTCACTGACTCCATCACTGCGACTCTAACTGTCTTTCTCTCCGCGTCGACGATGTTTGTGTGCAGAAAATACAGCGAAAAGAGAATAAAACAATCTGTTAATGGCAATCAAAGCAAAACATGACCGCATAAAAATACTATCAAGTGATTAAAGTACATCATGTGCCCCACATTACACAGACACGTAAGGTTTATATGATAAATATCTTGCACTTGTCAAGTAAAAACGTCAGTTCCAGCTTGTTATTTGTTGTTTTTCTGTCTTAGGTGATTAAAAATGGAATATATTTGGAGTTTGGACTGTTCAGTGTCAAAAATATTCAGCTTTAGATTAATTGATAATGAAAATATCTGTTATTTGCAGCCTAAATCCTGCATGTTTTCTTAAATATAACTATATAAATGCGTGCCTCTTGGAAACAGGTCGTATGGTCGGATTGAAACCTTTATTTGTCAAAACGCGTAGCCACACCAGGCTAGTGGAGCTTTATTAGACGTTTTACAGTATTTTCATTCATTGTGCAGCCCTAAGAATGATGTATGATGTACGTATCGGATCAGTCCGGGATAACACAAAGTTCAGGTATATACTGGTTCAGCAGTAAAGACACATTTCTTTAAATCTGAATTACGTACGATGATCAACCTCACGTTTCTGCCCTCCTCCAATCCTCCGGTTTTTACTCCTCCTGCCACATGGATTCCTCAGCCAGGGGACGGTTTTATTATTATTATTATTATTGTTCTCATCACTTTACTGTCTGTCGTCATCTTTTAAATGCATTTCAAAGGTTTGGTGGATGAGAGAGATCTGCGGCGCTGATGCCAAATGGTTGCGCTGACTAATTTGGTGAAGCTCGCCGCCAGCTGCTCCACATCCAGAGGAGAGGTTTGTGTCTGCGCGGTCCACATACGACCACCGTGTTCTCTACTTACTGTACGCTGACATCGCTCTCTGATTCCCCTCCAGTCGCTGCACATCTGCATCACTCCCTATTTATAGAGTCCTATTAATATGCACACACACACACACACACACACATTATAATACGACTAAATAATACGTTTTTCTCTCTGCAGTTAAGAGTTTCATTTGCGTTTTTTTTATTTTGGCCCTCAAACACACACACACACACACACACACACACACACATGCACGCGTACACACACACAGTAGCTCGCCCACACACACACACACACGACCCAGCAGACCTCAGCTGCAGAGACACGCTATAATTAGTGAGACAGCATCTTTATCTCGCTCTCTCTTTCTGTGTGTGTGTGTGTGTTTGTGTGCACTAATTGCTCAGGTCAGATGAGAGTCATTAGTAAATAATTAATTTATTAGGCAGCTGTAGCCTGATGTTAGACTGTAAACTTACCTTCACTTTCCCTCTGAGATTTTAGATTATTTCTACGATTACTCTAATTAGTAATTATTGGCTCCTCCTCCATTTTCTTCTCTTTCTCTCTCTGTGATTCTCTTCTGTCTTCTTCTTCTCCTCGTCTTTTATCTGTTTATCTGCGTCTATTCTGAGTGCTAAAGGTCAGATACAGATGCACAGCGCGAATCCGATGCCTCCCCCACATTACACACACACACACTGACAGACTGTGTAATTATGTAGGTGCCAGAGGAAGATGTGTGTGAGATGGAGAGCAGCGGGTGAGGAGAGGGTGAGGGGAGGGTGGGATCCCTCCCGTGTTCTGGCTGTGGTTCATGACACTGTCTTAGCTGATTGCAGAGTGTGTAAGTGTTATCATTACTGCGGCACATCTGTGTGTGT